GAAACCAAAATGCTGGATATGAATAAACAGTTTGTGAAGATTTTAGGATATTTTTTATTTAAACTCAGATCTTAAAGCATAGCAAAAGTAAGAAAAACATAAACATTAATGGTTATGCAAAATCATCAAAAACTTACAAAAAATATAGAAACAAAAACTGAAATGTAAGATAAATTAAAGTCAGATGGTAACACTTTATCTGAAGGGTTTGCATCGTTTTCTCATATGAGTGAAAGATTAAAACAGCTGAAGTAATGTTTTCTGCATGTTGCTTAAATTTTTCATATTTTTGTAGAAAAAAAAAGCTATTCTATGAAATTGGGTTTTTGATGCATGTTTATTTTCCTATTGCATCTGAATCTGATCAAAGATGATGATCTGCTGTGGTTATTGTACAAAAACAGAAATAGTTACAGTAAATGTTTTATCAATTGAAAATAAAGCAGAAAACTGAGAAGCATCATGAAATTAAAGCAAATCTGGGTAGTAATTATGTTCACTGGTTTTCTTTAAACAGGAATTAAGAAAGCATGAAAAAAACATTAAATGGATTTAATAAGCAAATTTAAAAAATGCATCAAAATATCACTGAAATCAAATTTTCCTGCATTTATACATTTATGGATTTTATTTTTCTACTCAGGATCTTTGTGAAGTCACATTTTAACAGACATCTTCAGATGAATTCAGGGAATTATGCCAAAATAAAAATAAAGTCAAATGATTTACAGAGTACATGCCTTTCAGCAACAAATGTTAAAAGTATGGAAATGATAATTTGATGTCATCTTCCCAGTTTTTACCTAAATTTATCCCTTGTCTGCCCGTCTATTGGACACCAGTCCCTTCCATCCAGCCTCTACATGACGTCATTGTATGCAACTGAAACTCTGTTGCTGCTGTACTTGGCGGTTCCTCCAGAGCTGCTGGATCTGGGTCTGTTTACGTAGCAGATCAGAACTCCAGTCAGGATCATCAGCACACCAGTTTCAAAGCCAATGATGATGCTCGCTCCAATCTTCCTCTCCTTTTGCTCATAGAGGCTGTTGATGTAAGTCATATCATGTGC